TCGACTGTTATAGGTCGTTTTGTATTTAGTCGACTGTTATAGGTCGTCTTGTATTTAGTCGACTGTTATAGGTCGTCTTGTATTTAGTCGACTGTTATAGGTCGTTTTGTATTTCCGTATCTTCAAAGTAAGAATATATTGATTTTTAAACACAAATGATTGGACTTTTAACGAGTAATTTATATGTGTAAGGTCATAACTAGGTTTCTAAACGATCAAAGATTGTGGTATTACCGTGTATTTTTTTACGGCAGTTTTGAAGACAAGGAATATTCTTCTCTAATACGTCCACTGGTGCAGTTGTAACACATATTCCGGGGGCAATTATGACGTTAATTGACCCACTGTTACAATTGACTTATATTTTTTTTTATTGTGATACAAATCGACCAAATCCAAATATTAAAGTTTTAAAATGTTTGATAAACAAATACTTTGTTTATTTACTTATTAAATAGTTATTTGCACAGCACAAATGTAAAGAAAACACACCTTCTAATTACAGCATATTATTTAAAAAAAACCTGTAAATTCACTTGGACTTTGTGAAAATGCTCTAGTATCATTAATACGAGTAGATACCTTCTATTAACAACATCATTTGCACCGCAGGCAGAGGAGAAGTACTAAGAATAAAAAGCACAGGCTTACAGACAAGCCCTTCCTTAGAACATAGTCTGCAAACATTATTATGTTGTAATCTGTGATATGGTAATAAAGACTTTAATATTATGCTCTGGGGGTAATAGTAACAGAGGGAGCAGTTGTCACAAACAACATCTCATCAAAACTAAAAACTAATTTTCGAGTACAAAATTATGCATTTAGATTGATTATGTTTAGATTAGGTATATTAATACCTATAAGTTTTTCTGGCTAAATTTCAAATTCCTGGCCATAAAAAGCAATGCCATTAAAATGAAGACTACTACAATTAATGACATGTTTTTAATTGTCAGTATAATATTAATAGTGTTATATCTCTCATTGAAATGAGGTTCCTTTTAATAATAAAAACATTCTTATTTTCCTATATTTTCGTTGCGTTTTATTGTTTTCCAGTGGTGTTATTTTGTACCGGGGTAGGGGGCATTAGTGACAATTCTCCGTCTCACAAAACCTTTCAATTCTACATTTTCAAAGCGTAATAACGAATAATCAGTAACAAACGTTTGTTGCCAAATATATTTACCTTACCTTACACGGGAAATGTTTTAAGGATACGTTAAAGCAGTTCTATAATCGAAGCGTACGTAAAAATATCTTTAAAATCCCTTTACTCATGCAAAGTAAGTTCGGAGGTATCCACCAATAACGGAATATTCTGTTTTCAGATAGTATTCACGACAGAGGAAGACCAGCATTACCACATGCCGCTCCTACTGAGCCCCTACGGGTACACCACTTACCGTGGCAGCTGAAACCACGTGTCGGATTATACTTATTTTATTTTAAATCTATCCAAGCCTGAAATTATTCTTTTTTTTATGCAACCTCATAAAAATATTTTTTGGTAACGGTAATTACTTTAAAATTGTTATTTTCCATGGCTGCGGTAATTAGAAAATTCAAACATTTTTAGTGACCTACAGACTTACGTATAAACATAATACCTACTATAAGGTCATTGGTTGACGGACTTTGAGTGTGGTTCCGTAAAATTATTTCACCCATAGCGGGATCACCGCCTTAACTACAGATTTCATTCTTCGAGAGTAAGACGTCGCGGAAAGGTCTGTAATTTACCGTTCTGTATATTAGCACTGGCTAGTGATTTTGAAAGGATGTATGACTATCATGCCCAAGAACTACTCTGAGCCAACGGTTTCTGATGTCGTTGCTGCCTCCGTTAATTATAACTTGTCTGCTAAGAACTAGGAATGCTCCAAAGCATGTAGTCGTGTGTTAAGGCCAAATTCTACTTAAATGTTTCTCGAGACTGCAATGACCTGTTAAGATTATGGGAGTGCATGTTTATTAGAAAGTATTCTTGAGTATTTTCTTTATGATTTTTTTATTATTATTTTCTTTCTCCGGTTGACACACTGGGTGCGTACCGCAGTTTGCGATATGCGTATGCGCACATAGGGCCCGTATGCGCACATAGGGCCTGTGATTTATGGTCTTTTCACAAAGAGTGTTTCTAATTACAATCAAGAAATTTATAACGTTTGTCTTTCTAATTCAGATAAGAAAAATATGATGAGAGACGTTCAAGGCGGTATGAAATAGGAGCAGGTAACGTTAGGGAAAACGTAGAATTCACCGTTGGACTGGTATGGAATTTACATAAGTTATACATTTTGATGAAAATAGTCAATGATATTGTGGAAATACCGAGTAACCAAGAGCATCGCAATTAACATTTTCTATGTAGACAGGATTGTCTCTGTAAATCTAAAAATATTAATAAAATAATTATACAAAATCATACAATAATGAATGAATTCAATTACTTAGGTACAATTACCAGAAAAGTCTCAAAACCATTGTTGATAGCTCGTGTAGGCATCAGATCATCAGCCGCCCTCAGCACGTACCTACAAACCTACCATAAATACCAACACATATTAGCACATACCAAGACTTCACGTAGGCAGAAACACATACGGGGTTTTTTACGAAATCTACCCCAATTTAAAAAATACCTACAAACAACGCGGCCTACGGTGACAAAAAGGATGTAAGTAAGTAATTGATATAATTCTTCCCATTACAAGTCACATAAAGAGTTATGTGCTGTGAAAAGGCATAAAAAGGGCAATAGACACCCACCTGCAGTGCTCATGGAGTCGTATAAACTTGTACATAGGTACCTCTATCACCAGGGGCCTTACCATGAACTCTTATTACAGTTCAGTAAAGGTTCGTAACGTCAAAAAAGCGGGATGGTGATATAGACTTCATGTAGCGCTTTCTCACGATTTATTTTAGGTCCTAAACTCGTCATAAAACTCGGAATCGTAATAAGAGTTTATGGTAAGGCACAGGTCTTACACGTGATGGAGAAAATTATTTATGACAATTACTTAGTGCTTTCATTTGAGAGCAATAAAATTTTCTGTAAAAAAGTGAAGATGTTTAAAAAAACAGTTTAATTAGATTACAGTGATTATTAGGCACAATCATTCGCGAAGCGGTGAATTATATGGGAACGCTCTGGTCAAACTGGCTGCGCATATTTAGTAGGAAAGTAATTAGCGTTATATTTGATTTCGCCGTAGTTAATTCATTACCTATTTAGTTTTCTATCAATAGAATAGAATACGTTTATTTGCTAGAATACAGTATTTATACAATATTGAGTAAAATTGGGTACATTGTATTCAACCTGCACGCAGGTGTGCTAATGTTACAGGTATTTCACATTTGTCTCTACAATTACAAAGCAATTTGCATTTCGAACTAATATCAATTGGTATTGGTAACTTCTAAATATTCTTTATCACTTTAAAAGCAATGTGTCAAAAGCCATTTTGTCAGTTGTGATTTAAAAGTAAGTCCTTGTAGTGATTTAATTACATTAATTATATTAAAAAATTATAATGTATTGAAGCAGTTATTCTTATAAGCGAGGTTGTGTCAATTTCTTTTCATTTTAAATAATCTTTGATATCAATATACACAGATCACATAAGTCAAATAATTTCTTTTTAAATACACACATCAAAAGTGTCTAGGGATCAAGTGAATATTTTTGAAATAAAAATTATTTAAGCAATATTTACCAAATCCAGTCTTCCAGGACGACTTCTTACTTTAATGCTTATGTTTTATTTAACCGCTTACCCCTATATTTAATTAAAATAAACTAAAATTGATGTTTTTGCAAATTGTGGGAAAAAACTCAAATTAACGGCGTCAATTAAATAACAAAAAAATGGCGAAAATGATGATTTTGCTCATTTTTATTGTAAAGATAAAAAAATTAATAATCTGTATTTCCACCATTAACACGAATCACACAATTACAGCGATTTGGCATGCTTAAGATGAGTTCATCAAAATCACTTTGAGGAATGGCCGCCCATGTGTTTTGTAACAAGTCAAAATATTGTTGTAGAGTATGTACGGTATGCATACTCGGCACAGCTCTTCTTTGAAGCATATCCCATGCGTGCTCAATTGGATTGAGGTCTGGCGATTGAGCAGGCCACGGCAGAACGTTGATACGAGCTTCGGCAAGAATGCGTGTTACGACTCTAGCCGTGTGTGGACGTGCGTTGTCATGCATTAGTTGAAATGAATCACCCAACTGGCCTCGCAAAGGGATGATAACATCTGAAACAATCCTCTCTGCGTAAACTTGAGCATTAAGGTTACCCCTGATCCAAATGAGATCGGTTCTTCCGCCGATCCAAATACCGTCCCATATCATTATTGTTCCCCCACCATATGGATGAACTTCCTGACAATATCTCAAACGTTCATGACGTCCAGATGTTCTCCAAACTCGAGTACGTCTTGTATCCGGTCTCATACCGAAGCGGGATTCATCCGAAAAGCACACATAGCGCCAGTCTTCTTCCTCCCAGTTTCTGTGTTCGCGAGCCCATCGTAAACGGGTCCTGCGATTGCAGGGTGCAATAGGTGGAACTCTGAGCGGCCTTCGGGATCGCAGACCCACTTCACGTAAACGATTTCGGATTGTTTGATCGCTTATTAGCAAGCCTGAGGAGCTGTGGAGCCTCGTAACCAACATCATGGCGGTCATGGTACGATTCCGTCGAGCAGTATTTTGGATATACCGGTCCTGTCTGCGAGTCGTGATGCGAGATCGTCCTCCATGTCGCTCGGCCACGCTGCCCGTCATGCGGTAGCGCGTCCAGAGGCGACTTATGACGCTCTGTGTAGTGTTAAGAGTGAAAGCCACAGCAAGTTGCCTGGAACCAGCTTCCAACATTCCGACGGCTCGCATCATCACTTCTCGGGTTAAATGATGTCGTCTCTCCATAATAATGTAAATTGTTTCGGTTCCGATGCAGATATTGTAATGATTTTGTCAAAACGCTATAACTCATTTTTATACAAAACCACATTGACAATCGATTTTCTTCTTATTATCGAATTTTAAACAATATTCCTTATTTAAATGTTAAAACTCACTAAAAAGTATCAATAGCGATACAAAAAAGTTAATATAATTAACCCTAATTGCAGCAATACTCTTAAACGTACTTGATCCCTAGACACTTTTGATGTGTGTATGTTTAAGCATTATACAACTTTATGGACATATTATAGCAATTCCTAGAAAAGCAAATAATATTACGGGAGGGGCCAGCCAAGCGGTTGGGATGTCTAGTTAAGAAAGTACATACTTCACGTTTCCTAGTAAATAGGGCCAAATTTTTTTAACAAACATGCATACTTCAAATTTTTACATAGCGGGAAGCGTTAGAATTCTTAGTTTTTAAAAAGCGGCCTACAATATTGAAACGGGCCTCCTCTACTTATAGCTCTGACAAACTTTTTCTGGATAAGAAAGGGACGATTAGTAGAGCTATTTACGCAGTTCCCCCAGATGATGAGGCCATACCGCAAGCTAGAGCAAACGAATGCATGGTGGCCATTAAGGCAGTTCTCTGATCACATATGTGCGTTAGACGGTATAAAACAAATACAAATCGAATCACCTTTGCACATACTGAATCAACTTGTGGTTTCCATGTTAGTTGAGAGTCTAAGGGTCGTATTCCAGAACTCTACTCAATGCTCAAGTGAGGACTTGAGTATGATTTAATGCTCTAGAAATCATACTCAACTCCTTGCCATTAGGGTCGTATTTCCAGTGCTTTAAATCATACTCAAGTCTCAAGTAGATTTCTGGAATACGACCTTGAGACTATACCGAGAAAATTGCTGGACGAGTACACTTCAACATCGTGTCCATGATAGCTTACAGAGAATTTCTGGGGATTTCCATTATAATTACAACATTGTATTATTTTTGTTTTTTACACGTTAACTTTCAGATTATTTTGTTTAAGCCAGTCAATAATGTTACATATAATTTATAATATGAATCATAATTAAATGTCTAAAATGTTAACAAAGAAATGTCATTGTCAAAAGGTGAATGCAGCTATGCTAAACCTTTTATTATTAAAGGTGTAGGAAAAGGAGGACGTTGTCATTTTCTACAATTTTAATTATCTATTACAAAATATTAACAAATTACAAAAACTTTAACAACAACACACAATAATTTAACAAACGTACTAAGGAGACAAGAAAACATTCGAGTTCGAGAAACTAAGCACGAATGACATCGATATGATACGATAAAATAGTGCACAATATATGTTTTTGATTCCTATTGTGTTATGTCATAAAATTATTTACGACCTTAAACATAGTATTTTATTATAATTATTGTATCAAAACGAAATTAAGTAAAAATATATATTGCAAAATGTGAATTGTTCTAAGTTTGTTACCGTCTAAGGGAACTACTATTTAAAATATAATTTTTTGCTCTGTTAACCCCTTTGTTTACATTTTGGACATCTAATTATGATTCATACTATCTATATACCTACACGTGATGTTCTACAAAAAGATCTCTATTTAACAATATCTAAGGTACCTATCCGAATTCACAACCCTTCACCACAGGACAAAGTGGCCCCCAATAATCGCTCACGATCGAAACTATATACCTATGCCCATTTTCGATGAATTCTCCGTCCACAATAAGATCTTCGAATACTGGTTTCAAATCTGGGAAGAACTGTACTCCGTACATGAGCCCGAGTCTGATATCGTGGATCATCTTGATCACGTTTGAGCACAATGTGCTTTAATAAAGGTGCGTCAGCATGCCTAGATAGTTACCTATTTGTAATTTACAACAGAAAAAAATTAACTATTCCACGGTTTTATTGGTTTGTTTTTGATTTTGTGAAATAACTCCACCTGCTTGTTTTGAGGATATTTTCATTGTGTTGGATCTTTGTATTTCATAATTATTCCTCTAGGTTCAACTTTAAGTTCAATCAGTTGAACTAATTGGAATAATATTAATAATAATATTACCAATAGTTTTGTCCTGTTAGTCACTTTCAACTGATTAATCAACTAGAAAATAAAGTCGTATAACCTGTCTACTTACCTTTGTGACTAAATACATATTAGGTTTTTTCAAATCATGCTATATTCCTATGAAATAAGCTCACAGACAGCGCAGTTTCGAACATACCTACCTATTTGTGTGTGTATCTAATATTAACCTTCTAGATACTGCCAAGGACAGGTCTGCTCTGAAGAGACAGGTAAGCCAAAAAATACTGCCTGAATTGAGTTTGGGACTTAACACATCTTCGCAGACTAATGTTGACCCTTCTCGATGTTTTCTTTAATCTTTTCCCTGAATAATAATACTAATAACGCACGTACTCTCATAGCCCCGCACTAGGGAAACCCTGTATCGCGGGTACAATGGACACTCGCCTAGACAACCACAAATTACTTCCAAATTCAAAGAGAAACAAATAATGTAAATATAGAAAAAAGTAGGCCATACAAACATTTCTCCTGGCCCGGGAATCGAACCCGGGACCTCTGCGTTGCAGAATAGTAACCGTTCGGCCACGCAGACAGTTAAAAATGAAGACCCACGCCTAGCAGTAAGATGATGGACATATGTTTGTATCAATAATTTACGGAATAGTTGTTTATTAAAAAGCAAACATAAGTAACTATTTACTTCATACTTTTGAGTAATATCTCGGTAGTAAAAAAAAAACAAATCGACCTGTCTACTCAATGATTATTGATGGGACGTGGAGAAGTTTCCATTTTGAAAAAAAAAACATTCTTTTCACGTTTCAGTGACACTTCGCACGTGAAACCCTTAAGACTATGGAAACTACTTTTTTTCCATCCTCTAAGGTGAAACCAAATACAGTTGTAACTCAAAAACGATGGAATTGAGAAAATACGAGTCCAAAGTTCGATAAAATAATACATGGAACCAATATTTGTTTTATTTTCGTCTATAATTTTTTTATAATATCAAATGACGGGACGAACAAATCGTGCGCCTGATGGTAAACTAATACGCCTGTCCATAACAGTTATTAACTAATTTTATCTGAATAACTAATTATTATGTATAAATACAAATAATCCCACTATTTCCAATAACGTTCTTTTTTTTTTATTTTAGCAAAGCACTATTTGCTTTCCCAATACAATCATTTTTGAGTTCCGACAGTACCTACTTATTTGGTTTCACGTGCGACCTGTCGTGGTTTTATAATTCATCCCAAATAAAACTTCAAAAGATATATCTAATCATAGAACGAACATCTACACTTTTAACTTTTCGTGGCTATTGTCGCGAATGGCTACTTACAAGTTTCCATGTTTTAAAATAAAATAGGTATCTTAATTACAATACCTACTTTAAGTCTCGATGTCCTAAAATAAATATTTCATTACAATACTATAACAACGTTATGGCAGAATAACAGAGGCCGTGGGTTCCCCGCGATCGCCGAGTCATAAGCCGTTTTGTCTTGTTAATTAACACTGTCTCTGATTTTGATTATAAAATATGTATTACTGTATTCAAGACAAATAAATGAGTGTATTATCTTTTATTATGTTAACTTCGATGTCCACTGGTGGCGCCACCGCCATCCGCACATGAAGCCCTCGTTCCATAGTTATAATTACAAATACATTTAATAAATATAACTAGAAATCATCGTAAATAAAATGATAAATAATTATTAATTTCTCACAATCCTAGAATTACTAATTAGAAATGTATTAAATTAATACTTCCTCTTAAAATTTATATTCTTGTTTAGAACTGATAGCTTGATGGTATTATATTGTATATTATATTGATATATATTATTAATTCCAAATAGATTTTTCAATACGTAGTTGCTCATCTATGTATGTACTAAGATTTTGAATTCCAGTATCTAATTCATTTTTGGACCTCTCCAAATTAATTATAAATAATTAATTATAAATACGAATTGGCGCCATTGTAACATTACATTAATAGGGTGAAACTTTGCCCGAATAAACACCGAATTAACGACATTTTCATTTTAATTTCTCTTGTCCGCCATCCTGTACTGCTTTCGTTACAATTATTAAGTGGGAAGAAAAGTACAAGTAGTCCTATCAACAGAACTAGTAGAAATCGTTTCGTCCACCAGGATCCCCTAGCCTAATCCCCCCAAGGGATCCTTGTGAACTCAATAGTTCATCAGAATCCCCCAAACGCAGATACGAAACGTTGAGCGCCACTGACACTATGGTACCTTAAAACAAATAGAGGAACACATACTTGTCTTCGAATTGTTTTCCACTATCCGAAATTTTTCGGAACTCTGCATATGGACATGTTCATAAGTGAGTTGATACCTACCTTCCTCTCTAATTTTGTATGGAAATACCCACATATAAGTATACTCAATATTTTCGTATTTATGTAGCCACCAGCCCAGTCAATTCGGATTTCTCTTACCATATCACTTTCAATCCTCTCGTGGCACTTGGCACCAATACCTAGAATCCCATGGGACTACTATGATATAACCACAGACAGCTGTTTCTATATTCACGTTGATGTTTACCAACTTTTACAGGCATGCATGACTCAAATTCAATCCAGTGACTTTCGTCAAGCATACTTTCATTCGGGCATTAAACCATTATCTTTGTAGAACTTTTTGTTCGCTGCTCGAGTATCAGTTTTTCGTATCTACATGGCAGCGCTACATATTATTCAAACCCCTTCATATGAAGCAGAACCAAGGTCATGCTCATAAAACTACAATAAATAGGGTCCTAGGCATCTGTTGACTTAATAAAATCAAACAACAGAATTTATAAAACAATTATTTTTATATACACTTAACAATATAGTTAAATACTTCATACATAACCTAACTATAAATGGAGCAGCCTAATTTATAGCTAAATGTAAAATTACCAAAAAAAATATGTACAGTTTCATGAATATAATTTTGTGAGCATTTTATGTGCTTATTGTTTACGGCGAAGCTTGTAGAAAACCGAAGCGAAGACAGATATTTTTTCTTTTTTGATGATTACGAGGTAACATTACTTTCTTTAAACTTATGGAAAATGCGTACTTACGCTAAATTTACTCACTTGAGTAAATTTAAGAATTTGAATGAAGTTTTGACAATACAAGCAAGACTAAGGTTTGTTACAGTCTCGACTGAGGGAACTTGTTTGTATTCCACACAAGAGAATTATACTATATTTCCCTTACATCCTTAAAAATCACTAATTTGTGGTTTATCCATACAACTTTCCAAAATGCTAATTTTAAACTAATTCATTGTGATCTTGAGAATTGTGGTCCTAATTAAATGCAACAACTGTTTGTTCTTTAAAACTAAAAATTAACGAAACAAACATTCACAATTACACACATTCACAATTACCTCAATGTCTTTTGGAAATATAAAATAATAAATTATGATTTATGTAACTCAAAAAACTAAATTAAATAATTTCACTTTCTGAAAATATACTCCAACTAACATTTTTATTGAAAAATGTCCACTATATTTAAAGTTTAACAAAACGAATGAATAAAAATTTTGATTGAAGAGTTGACATGATTGGGACAACTAGTACAAAAACTGCACGTAGTTCGTACATTACTACACTCACTACATTTAAATGCCACGAAATCTTAAAAAAGGTCCACTTTGCTTGGTCATCGTAGTGTGTAGACTACAAGCTGAACTTGGAATCGCAAAAGTGGGGCCTTTCGTCAGAAACGTCACAAAGTAGTTTGTTGTTTTCGAAGCTAGTTTACACCTACAATAACAAGATTGGCACGCTGTCCGACGTTGGCGCGACTCTGTAAGACAAGGTCAGAATCGTCAGTAACCATACTAATATTATCCACAACGAATTCACCGTTTCTTCAAGTCACAACACTAAGTATCACAGTGTTTATCACAGCTTGTTGTAAAGTCTCAATGTTCTTTGAGCGTTAACGCTTCCTTCTGCAGCTAAACTAAAAAAATCCCCAATAGTCCTAATTTTTTGAAAGGATTGCCAAAATAATTGGGAACAATTTTGTAAAAAAGGGAAAAGTCTGTACGTTATCTAAAAACAAATCCTGAAAACATCTCCCCACAAGAGGGTTTAAATAACTTACTTGCAGTGATTAAAGAACTGAAAAATGTGCCATGGCGATGAAAAGATTATCAGTGTTAGCTTTCTCCAAAACGAGGTGCTTTCACTCGTTCATATAAATTGTCGCATACATATAACCTGTTTGAAACCTGTGAAAAGAGCGGGGTTAGCAACTTAAGTATTTGTGTCATCTACTCACCCCTAGTATGACGCGCGTCTAAGGCAGGCCTCTACGATTTGGCGCCCACATCTATTGTAGTGAAATAAGAATCAAACCATTAGACAAAAAATTACTCGGGAAATGTGACTTCCACAACCTTTTCCCTAATTCCCAATATCAGTTGATGCCATTACCATTTAAACCTTTTAAAATAAATTCCAAACATCCACACCGCCCTTATTAATGGAAAATCAACTCTTATTCATGAGTTTCACTTTACTTTTTGTTGAAATTTATTAAAAGACATATTTTGTGTCATCGAGTGGAAATCATACATAAAATTATATAATATAAGACGGACACAGAATAAGTCATTTAAATGTTTGTTCCCATATTCTCCATTTCTTTTTTTACAACATTCAGTGAATACAACCAACCTGTAAAAATCCAACCTGCAAAGGAAGAGTCAAAGAAAAAGGATTTTGTATGTAATAATGATAATACCCACCTATTTGTTCCCCTCCTCCTGCCCCACCACTTCCTTATATCTCGCTATCATGAGCTTTTTCACTGTGTCTCTGTACGTCTCCCCAGGAGTTGGTGTGTAGATGCCTCTTTTTTGACCAAGACCAACCAATGCCGGTCTCTGTTCAGCTTCAATGGGCGCTATCCTGCCTTGCTCTGTCTTGCCGAGCCCTCGGCCTTCTGACCAGCCCATTTTCTGTAGCATTTTTCCTCCTATAGTATCTACAACAGATGGAGGAGGCGCCGTAGGCATTGGAGGTGGCATAACTTCAGGTGGCTCGTACCTCTTACGCATAATAGGCTCATCTTCACCAAACTTCATCCGCCTCTCAGCTGCCCTATCTCTATAACCATTAGTCTGTGGCAATAATTCCTCTTTCTTTCTATGTTCCACTAAGTTTTGTTTGTGCAAATCAGATAATGTCTTATGTTTGGTCAGCACATCAGCTGAAGGGAATTTGCGCTTACAGAGGAGACAGGTTAGTTTAGGCCAGTCAATGATACCTTCATCGTTTTCGATTGACATTGGTTCAATAGCAGTTTTCTTCATGAGGAAATCATCTCCAATAGGAGGCGGTGAAAGCTCTCTAACGTGACCAGTTTGTGGTAAAGATGGCCCTGCACCAAGAACAGAGAAGCCAATGTCTGCTGATCCTTTGCTAGCACCCGTGTCAAGTGGCTGTTCCATCACTATGTTACTGCGGGCATTTTCTTTCTTTTGGTTGAGAGTCCGAGCCCATCTCTCCATGTCTTTAGCTATCTTTTTAGCTACTTTTACTTTGTCCTCTTTCTCTTTTTTTTTCTTCTCCTCAGGTTCCTTTGCTATTGTATTTTCAACAGTAGCTTGTGGAGGGTTGGGCAACTTAGGTTGTTCAGTATTCTGCTGGGCTTGAGTGGCAGCAATATAAGTGGAGGAGGAGGCGTCCCAATACATATATGTATTGACCTGACTGTTGTAGAAGTATTGAGTATTCCCGTCATAGTACAATCCTGTTGCTGGGTCATAATAATACCCTGATGTTTCATCATACATGAAGGTACGAACATCGGGGGCAGTGTAAGTCGTTTTGCCGTCACCCGTGGGGACTTTAACAGTAGGAGCAGCCTGGGAGGCGGAAGCTACGAAAGTGGGAGCAGCTACAGGCGTCCAAGACATATTGCGGGCTTGGGCCGCAGAAATAGCCGACTGCGCTACGGCAGCCGCCGCGTTGACACGGTCAGCTTCCGACAAAGACTGTTGTGCAGCAGTGTAATTTGCCATTTGAGCATAATAAGCGGTGTAGTCTGCCGCAGTGGCAGAAACGGGTTTCTGTATCTTTTGCGGTTCATTGTAAAATGAAATTAAAACTTCCCTATTATCAATTTCTAGAGGAGGATGCAAGGACAGCAATTCCGAGTGAGCGGCCGTGGAATCAGCAATAGAATTGAAATTAATATACGCCAAACATTTGGAAGCACCCGTCAACGTCTCGCGACCTATCGTAATACCCGCTATGGAATCCAAAACGGACTTGGAACATCTCTCCTTCAACGCGTCTAATATTTTCTCCTCGGTGGTCAGAGCGTCCAACCTCCTAAAGAGCAGCCGCTTGGTGATGCCCGCCCCGGCCTCCGCCGGGCAGGTCCTGTCGCCGTCCCCGCCGTACACCGCGCCCTCGGAGCGCTGGCCCTGGCAGTTGCGGCGGTAGCACACCTGGCGGCGCTTGAAGTTGTACGAGCCACACTTGCAGAACCAATCCCCCGGGGAGGCGTTGACGGCCGGGCCGTCGTCGTGCCGCTCGCGCCGGTCGTCGGGGCTGCGGCTGGCGGAGCGCGAGCGCGCGTCGGCGTCGCTGATGGTGGGCGGGGAGGGGGCGCTGGGCACGTCGCGCTCGTCGTGGCGCCGGGGCGAGCGGCGCCGCTCGCGCGAGCGGTCGTAGCGCTCGCGGGCGCGCCCGAAGCGGTCGGCGTCGCGCTCGTAGCGCTCGCGGCGCTCGCGGCCGTCGCGCTCGGGCGAGCGCTCGTAGCGGCGCTCGTGGCGCTCGCGGCGCTCGGGCCGTTCGGGCCGTTCGGGCCGCTCGGGCCGCTCGGGCCGCTCGGGGCTGCGGCGCGCGTCCCAGGCGGGCGAGCGCGCGCGCGCCTCCCAGCGCGCCTCGGCCTCGCCCCAGCGCGAGCCGGCCTCGCGCGCGCGCCACGACATGTCCTGCGAACACACGCCCGTTACGGCACCTCGCGTCGCGCCGTCCGCCGATCGATGCGTCTTCGACCTCGGACTCACCTGCTGCAGGTCGATCGGGGAAGGGGCGCTCCTGGGCGTAGCGACGCCTCCACTGACGCGCTCTTGGCCACCGACTACGTTTACTACGTTTTGTACACGAAACGAGAGACGAGCGTTCGAGAACTGCCGAATTACGCTACGCAGTGGACCGGACTAGACGCCATTTTTTCCTTTCTATTTTTTCTTTTCGTCGTACGATTCCGAGCGTAACGTCCGTGTGGGGGGATTTTATTGCTAGTTGTAAAGTATGAAAGAGATAGCGCTACCCGGAGGCCCTACCGATCAAACCCGCTCTTATTGCGCGTACTGTTTTAAAAAAGCAAATAGTGATGTCCGACCGAGTCTGTACGCTTCAACTATCGATAAAATAGTTTCATTATTTTATTTTTTGGTAATCTACTAATAATAAAATTTTGTGGTATCTTCAGTTGTGCAGATTCAAAGTCGAGTTCAGTATTTTGTTACAAGTTGCGTGGCTACAAGTTGCGTTGCTGCCTTATTTAATACCTCATTTAAACAATAATAATAATAAATCATTTATTTCAGGCCATAGCCCATAAGATAATGGTGTTAGTTACAAAAGAAAATCTTAGAACTGTTATTATGATTGTTAGTATTAGATTGTTAGTATGATTACATTGAATTTTGAAATATTGACAGAAAATTTAAATATTAAAATTTGGAAAATGCACAATTATTACTTACTTTGACCAGTTGTAATGTTTACCCAAAACTTTAAAATTGTAAAGTCAAAACGATGGGCAAACATTCTCAGGATGCCATTGCCACTGTCACGCACTCGCTTAAATAAGGCAGCAACTTCGGAACGTTGATGCGATTAGCGGGGCATTCAAGGTTTGCGAATACATTGTGCACAAACGTGTGCCTTTGTTGGATACACCCAATACAAGACACAATATACGCGCAAAACTTGATCGCCCCACTGAACTGTTGCGAATTTATGGCCTAAATCGAATAATACATACATTTAGGAAATAAAACTATTTTTCCGGATTTAAATCGCGTATATTTGTTTCTTTCAAACAAACCGACGTTTTGGGCCCTTTACAGGTCACGGTTGACTCAGGTGGTACAGTCCTAATACATTTACCATTAGTTTATACCGACAGTAGTCACAATATTGAAATGACCACCAATACAAACAAATCTCGTTAGTCATATCAGTATGACAAGCTAGTATGTACCAATAAACCGCAATAAACAGCCAAATACTTTTTTACTAAAAAGTGTCACATACGATTATTTTTTATGACATCTAGTGACGGGACGAACAAGTCGTGCGCCTGATAGTAAGCTACACGTCTGTCCATAACAATTGCAGTGCCACTCAACACTTTAAATCGCAAAGATCCAAGTGCCTCTCAGGCACTGCCTCTGCGCCCGTCACCTTAAGACATAAGTTGACAAGTCCCATGTGGCTGTAAATACACAAGCACCCTTACCCTTCAAAACTGGAACACAGTAATGCTGACATTACTACTTGGCGATAGAAATAGTTAAGGTGGCAGTACTTCCCTGGACAAACGATGAAACGCGCTAAGTCGCTAGCGACAACTGCCACCGTAAAATTCATGGCTGAGGCACTATTTGTGCTTCAATCCTTCACCACGGTAAGGAGTTGTTACTTTTGCCTTGCCTCTTCAATATGTGTATGAACGGAAATAAAAGTACAAATTAAAATAAACACTTTATTTATAACAGCCATGTAAAGACACGAATAAAGCAAATAAGATTTGTATTCTATCTAGTTCAAAATGATTATATATGTGATTATCGTCAAAGCGACAAAACTGGATCGTTTACAACATCTTATAATTTTATATTTTACCGTCATACTCGATTACTTTCCTTAATTTTAATTTTTGTTACGTCCGTTATCGTACAGTACTAAATTGTTAACATTAAGCATCTGACACAAAGATAAATCCCTACTGGAAATGTAGTCACTCATAAGTACTAAGGTGGGCTTCAGCTTCGTATATAATCTAGAACGTCAATAATAAAAATGAATTAATAAATAGGCGAAACAGTAGTAGGAAATTAAAACTTAGCACTACCATACACTTATAGCATAACTTACAAAAATTATGGAATGAAACTAATACATTGCACAAGTAGTAGCGTCTTCGATTTTTTGTTTTTTGAACTTGATTGTTACATAAATACATCACGCTTATTATTAAAGTATAATAGAATGCAATCACAAAAGTTGTCGAATTTGCATACAAGATCGATACATCACGGTTCTCTTTTCATTAAAAAGTTTTTTTTTTAATCTTCTTATTTCTCGTGGCTTTTCGTGGTAAGAGTTTTAGTCACTTACAAAGTGTTTTGACTAACGTGTTTTTAAAACGGGGAAGCTTTTATAATATTCTATATTTATACCATGTTTATTTACATCTCGTAATTCCTCACCTGATCCCTTTTTCTCCAACTTTCAAATCCCGTTTCCAAATTACATTTAAAAGTTTTTGTACACTACGAACCTCACACTTGATCATGAAAATATTAAATTAAACTCTAGTATTGTTAGTACAGAATTAACTGTCGTTTGATCAGCGTTCAAAAACTTTTTCATATAAACAGAACCGCAACAAACCACCTAAAAAACATTTAATGTTTTGCTTTGTCTTACAATAACTTTGTATCTCATTTTTAATGAGTACTCATTTTAGTTTTCTTAGTCATCTAATTTCATTACATTAAACATTTTTAGATGTCCGAAAAATCTACGTAGACGTTTTCTACTTCATACCTTATCTGTCGCCGATTCAGTTTTTGTCTGTTTCATATATGAACAGACGAAAAACTCACACAACATTTCGCCTAGCGTCTATGACAAAGTTAACAGCATGCATGTATATGAGATCTAATGTAATTTAATCGAAGTCCTAACTTTGGGTCTTACAAATTTGGTGCACAAAAACGCTTCGGTCACATTATTCTACGCCTTGCTTAAATATATTTTCTCTCTGGAATCGTCCGCTGTGCGGGAAATCATGGACGCAAAAGTCACTTAAAAAACGAAATTTTCTGCAATGACATTTCGTTTAAAATCATTCATAATTTAGCTGCAGAGTATCAATTAGGTATCCATCGGACAGTTCCACGGAGGTTGTGAAGTCCGTTATTCTTAAATGCGTGTAAAGCATCTACGCGAATGAAGTCCAAAACGAACGATTCCAGTCGAAAAGCCCAGTTCCCTCGTCAGGTGCGTCTTATTTGGGTTCCTGTCGTCCGGTGAGCAGGTGTTCCCTCAAGGTGCAGATCTCGCGCTCGATGTTCTCCCTCGCCGCGCCCTCGAGCCCCGCGAACTCCGGCGTGTGGTACAGGTTCGGGATCTGCGAGAACTGGTTCAGCACCTGCAACGACCACGCCGGTGAGCCGCCGGGGCCGCGGCCGAGGCGGCGAGGCCCGCAGAGTACCTTGACCCGCAGCTCCACGTAGTTGTTGGTGGTGAGCTTGGAGTACTCGGCGCGCACGAGCTTGGCGTGCGCGTCGTACTCCTCGCGCGACGCGGCCAGCACGGCCAGCTCGCAGTCGCCGAACAGGCGCAGGTCGCGCAGCGGCGCGGGGCCCAGCGGCGTGGGCGACGACGGCGACTCGCCCGCGCCGCACGCGCCGCACCACGACGCCTCGTCGTCCGTCAGCAGCGCCAGGATGTACGACGTCAGGTCTTGCTGTCGACGGACGACCGCGTCGCGTGAGCTCGGCGTCTTTACGTTTGTGCGCTCCGAACGCGTTCAATTTTAGGAACGAGTCCCTCGGGAAACTCACCGACTGAGGATGCAACCGGAGCAGCTCGGACAACAGCTTGACGGTTAGCTCGGACGGCGTGTGTCGTAGTACTATCGCCAATTTGAATGCTGCCGGTTGGACGACGTCATCGATCCCTTTCGTTAGCAAGTTTTGCCAAACGCCCGCCTGGAACACGTGAATGTAAATCGAACGTTACAATAACGCAAAACCCGTCAAGTTGCCATGGTGGAATCGAAAATGGTAGAATGTAAAATAGTGGTGTTGTTTACTTCGCTAGAGATCGTGTGTGTAGATCGAGTGACGTACGGATTACGACATTAGCCACTTACTAGAAACCAAATTCTGTCTTTTCTAAAATAGTTACGTCAGATTGGCGATCTTTCATGAAGCCGAAATTTGAAACAATTGTTGGCCACTACGTGCATAAAAATAGTTTTTTAGCTGAAACTTAAGTGTAACAGTAGAATGTGCACATGTAAATAAAAAATTGTAAAGAGGCGAGGTAACCTGGTAAGCGACGCAATTCCGCAGCGAGTGCCAAACAGTGTCGGAGGGCGCGGTGTCGACGATGCGGCGCCAGGCCTCCTCGGCGCCCGGCGCGCACAGCGTGCTGCACGCGTTCCGCCACATGCGCTCAGCGGCGCAGCCCTCGCCTCCCGACACTGGGGCCACGGCAACGAACCACTTTACTTCTTTCCTACTTGAGGTAATGCCAGCTCTACAGGATTTGAAACTGCCTATTTTAATACGAAATACCTAATAATTTTACCTCAGTGTTTTATTCCATTCGACAACACGTAAAATGTACAAGAAATATACACAAATCCTACATTGACAGTTATTTGACAATCGTGTAACAAAGGAAAAGTTTCTCAATTCGTTTTTTTTTTGTCGTCATATACCTACTACAATTGTAATGACGAAGACAAATTATATCGTATTACCCTACGTGATATATCTATACGCTATTTAAAACATTTATTTCAGTAACATAATGGGTAAGTTTAAGTACTAGACAGCGCAGTGTTACTAGAAACCGGTTACTGGAAAGGGTCCAGGAATTGCATCTTCAAGACAAGTCAAAATGCAAAACTTTTTGTGACAATAATAATGGCGGTTTTCCAGCAGTTCACAATTAAACTGATTAGTTGACGTCTTCTTTTACCATAAAAATAATCCTACCTAAATTAGTGATATCTTTTTCGGAATTTTAATACGAATTTAATTGTTTCTTTAGCTATTTTATAACATAGGGTACACACAGCTTCTATAAGAACATTAATAGAATTTAGTATAACAATAGACAACAAACAGTGCCTTGTTTACTTTCAATGTACTTTCCATATTTTATTAGCAGTTCTTTAAAACAACCTTTTTCAACAAACGTCTGCTTCAATTTCAAAAAGTTTTTAAATGGAAAGATTTTCCAGAAAGTATATTAAATAAATAACGGCATCTGGTTTTGTGTATTTATTAGACAATTTCATTATACTAATTACTACTAAGTCATAAACACTGCTTGTTATTACTCTGTTAATAATATTTTGACGTTTTTCTATGGTTAATGAAGAAATTAGGAAACGGTTAAAAACCGCTTCCGAACCGGTTCCAAAGCGAGAACCGGCTCGGTAACAACACTCGAATATTTTTCACTTAGTTTCCAAAATCAAAAAATTTTACTGTGTTACTTAAATCCTACCTAGCTACTGCAATATCTCTAACGGGTTTATAAGTAGATAGCTTCAAACACCGTCTTACACAACTTAAACCATTACTTTTCGATAGGTGTTGCATATTAAAACCGACTACGACAGGTTCCATTAATTTAAAGTCGATATTTTTGTCAAATGGTGAATACGTGTATATATATATCTAAAGATACTGCGACTTGTCCCACCCGATACCACTATACACCTTATGACATTTTACAAACATAACGTTGAGCAGCACTCAAAAACGCAGGTGCTCTTAGCTGGCCTCTTGGGAACCATGAGCACAATTGCGGAGTCATGCAATTCACTTCAACCCATCACAGATTGTTTTTGACTTTTTGCTACAATAATTTATAGTACTAAGTATTATTTACCCGTACCGTTTATTGTATCAGTACCTAGCATTAAGGTATAATATTACTTTGTTATCATATTAATTTCATATCATAATAAACAAATAATTATTACAATTAATGCGAACGAGATATTTTCACACATTCCTGCAAGGACACAAACTCAAAGGTGATAATGAGCTTCTTAATTTTTTTATAATTTTCAACTTTAAATATTCTGTGCGCCGCCGGACAATCTATAACTCAAACAATTGTTACAACACGACGTCACGTCGTCGTCGTAAAGCATAAACATCAATGCGTCTCTCCGCATTAAAATGTTAACCTATCCCCCTCGTGCATGAAAAAAATGTGTTTACACGCGTAAGTCAATATGGATGCATGAAAAAATTACCTCCCATATTCGGGTCCTGTCAATGGAGATTTATTGTAAGATTGCAGCGAACGAAGCAAAATCGCGAAGTTTCTACGATGATGAAAACTCCTGAAAAATGACAATAAATTAATCAATAACATACTAACGTCGTCGTGAGGACATTTCTATACGACAGTCAAGGACGAATCACGGTGTTCCTAACAAAGCCAAAAATGAGAATAATGTGCAAGCGGCAAGAGGAAATCGATGGTAAGGATATATTAAAAATACATAACGTCAAATACTGATGATTGAAAACAGTGATGATTTTATTTAACACTAAATTGAAAACTCACACGATCAATCCAGAGCATTCCAAGCAGCTAATGAATAAAAAACTAAAAGTGTTCTATTTTGGAACGCGACAGGCGCGTAGGGCGCGCTCAAGTGTCATGGCTGCTGAGTCGATGCTCATGCGAAGAGCGGAGGGGGGCACCAGAGCCGCGCATCGCACTGCAGGCTTATCGACAATCGATGTTACCGTATTACTGATATTGTTACAGGTCTGTTTATTGCATTGCGCTCGTACTTTTTTCAACACACAAATATGTAAGTAGTTACCGATTCACAGAACAATAAAAAAAGAAGTTGTTTGAAATAAATATTGTAAATGGTAAATTATTCAAATGTATATTTAAAAAGCAACCCTTACTAGTAGTTTCTTGCTCATTCTTCTCAGGTGACTACGCCTTACGAATGGGCAGTAAAGTTTAATAATAATATGACGATTTCAAGTGTAACCTGTAAAATAAAGACAATTCGAATTTGAATTTTAATCGCCATGAAATTTTAAAATGGTGAAAATTCACAACCTTGTGTTTTGTCATTCATATGTATGTAATACGATTGATGAGATTGAAGATATCGAGTTCTTAGGTTTTCGCGATTGTTACACATAGGAAATGAAACTATTTTTCCGGATTTAAATCTCGTATATATGTTTTTTCAAACAAACCGACGTTTCGGGCCCTTTACAGGTCCCATGGTCACGGTTGACTGAGGTGGTACAGTCTTCAATCAGTTATGTCAAAACCACCCACAACCACATTTTTCCACTATAGTTACAATAGTTATTAATTAAATACCTTATTTTTAATTTTACTAAGAAAACATTCCAATTTACCCTACATTAAGTTTTACAAATTATTTTATTGAATGAATTTTTTTGTTTTGTTGGTGGTTTCCACCAACCACCAACAGTCGAGCGAAGACCTGCCATCTTACCTTACGTGAGAGGTGTTACAGACAAGATCGGAAGAGTCCTCAATGCGTGTATCTATCAAGACCCATTTCAAGCCCCTAAGGAAGATTTCTCAGTTCCTGAGACCCGTGAAATGTAACATCCTCTTACAGGATGCAGGAGTTTACAAGCTTGACTGTGAGTGCGGTCTCTCTTATATTGGACAAACAAAGCGAAATATTTGTACCCCGTCAAAGAATATATAGCTGATGTCAAACACCGTCGCGTAAACAAGTCTGCAGTCTGCGAGCATGTCATGGATAAACCTACACATTCAATGAAGTTTGACAAACCCCAGGTCCTTGCAAAAGAAGTCCGTTATCTACACAGGATGCTGCGAGGGCAGATGATTTCTCCTTACCACCAGTTTGGGATCCAGTATTCCGCTAATGAAAAATCCCAAACAGACATACGACTGCAGTACTAATTAATATGTTTTAGTTTATTCTAATTTCTATTATTAATTAATAATTAATTGAACTTAAAAAAAAATTCATCGAATAAAATAATTTGTAAAACTTTATGTATCGTAAATTGTAATATTTTCTTTTTAAAATGAAAAATAAGGTATTTAATTAATAACTATTGTAACTATAGTGAAAAAATAGGGTGGTTTGCATCAATATTTGACATAACTGGTTGAAGACTGTACCACCTCAGTCAACCGTGACTATGGGACCTGTAAAGGGCCCGAAACATCGGTTTGTTTGAAAAAATGTACATACGCGATTTAAATCCGGAAAAATAGTTTTATTTCCTATGAGATTGAAGATAACTTTATATTTACTTTGCATAGTAATAGCTTTGAGCTTATAAAAATACACAACGTATGTTAATAGATACTCAGTTTTCATAAAAAAAGTCTATAAATGGTAAATTATAATAAATACGATAGCATTGTATAAAAATATAAATAAAGTATAATAATATTGACCTTTTTCACAGAATCCGTGAAACGTGAAAAACTTGACACGTGAAATTTAATACTCGTTGTCTTAATGTGTGTCTATCGGTGAGGACCTATTGTCTCTCTACTATTATTTCAGTTTTTACTCTGTAAGATAGCCGTTGGTCTTCCAATAAGTTAAAATAAAATAAAATAAAAAGTAACAACTAAAAATCGACAATTTGTCTAAATTTCAAGCCCCTCACTACGGGGAGAAATGAATGAAATTACGCATGCGCGGGGGTGCGTGTATCGGTGGCCTCGAAATATCAATGTAAAAATTTCAAACCTTTTCACTCGGAAGTTTTCTTTGGATTCACACATTTCTTTGGAATAAAAAATAAATAAATTAATACTGTATTTGTTTAAGTCAAAGCACTCGAAACACATTGAAATTGTTTTAATATCCAAACTTTCCTCAAATCGTGATATTAATTTTAATTATTTATGTACATATTTATATAGATACATATGTTAATTTGTATAATATATATTGTAATTAATTATTTAACTTAAGAGTTCTAAACCCAAAGAGGATACAATTCCTCCCAGAGCTTGAATCGGTCTTCCTTCAGACCTTTACGGACTTCGAACTTCTTATCAAAGACAAGGTACTCGCGTGACTCCGGTTTCATCTGAGGCCACTTCATTGAAGACAGTTCTGGAGTATCCTCACGAGCATCTGGAGCCCTGAAAAATGAAATCCAGTTACTGCTGCAAACTTTTGTAGCGCCTGACATTTTAAATATAGCAACAAAGCTTTCGAGACGTTTACACACGTATGACTTTTCGCTTAAGAAGGCGCTTGTTGTTTATGCGGTGACCTCGAGTTGATCGTACCCATATCTGGCGAAATTATACCACACGGCGGTCATGCTGTCGACCATAGCGGAGTCCGAGCTGTTTGAGACGGGGATGTCTTGAAAGCGATAACGCAGACTCAATAGATACAACATGTCGTCGTGGTGCGCCGCGCCTGCAAAGGCATGTAGGTATACTAGTCGGACAAATAGAATACTGTAAAATGATATACCGAGGGCACTTGTGTAATACTATTTATGGCGTGACGGAGCATCTCATAATCGCTATGATATTGGATTAAATTCATTATAAACCTAATGCATCGATGCGTCCGATAAACAGGTAATCTTAATTGTTGATCGGAACGAAAAATGTTTTCGGAGTTCGGTATGCGCCTAAGGAGCAAAAGAATTTGATACAAAGAAATTAAAACTATGATCACAACACAACTTACAAATTTTATACTCAGTACTGCCATAACTGTTGAACGGACTTGGATGTTTGACGGATGTTTCTACGCGAACAAAGTAAAGATACTAAAGTACAGGAACTGACCAACGGGTTTCTTAGTGGCGGGGTCGAGTGTGTGGCTCTGTGCACCGACGTACGCGAACTCGTAGTACCACACGGGGTGTTTCGAATGCTTGCACATTAGATTCGCCATCCTGTCAAAGTAAAAGCAATTCAATCTAATCATATGTTTTCAGGTAAGCACCGGCTCCCTCACTCGATTGTTTTCGAAGAGGGCGGGCTGTCGATGGTAGCATAGAATACGGGTAGATACATGATGCCGCCGATCCATAGTCCTAGCTTAGTTTTTTACGTACCTATGTCCTGTTTGACTGCCTCCGTGGCCGAACGGTTACCATGCCACACAGAGGTCCCAGGTTCGATTTCCAGGCTGGGAGAAATATTTGTATTGCCTACATTTATTTCTCTCGTGAGTTTGGATGTAATTTGTGGTTGTCTATGTGTGTGTCCATAGCACCCGCGATACAGGGTTTCCCTAGTGCGGGGCTAGGCTGAGTGTGTGTGAGTGCGTTATTATTATTTGCAACCAGGATTTAACATTTCATATGAAATGTTCTACTAACCGATGTGTCGGAAAACCGACGATTGCATCGCCATACAAAGTCCCGAGTTGCTTCTTGCTGAAGTCATCGTTGGCCAAGTCCCTGTCGGCGAGGTACGCCCCGCGCAGCGCGCGCGCTGCCTCTCGCAGGTGACGCCGAGGGAGGTCGAAGGAGATGGCCGCCGTGCTCTCCCAGTGCGTGTTCATTCGGTGGATAAGCGTCGCGTTGCTTAGAATCGCTACAATTGGTGATAAATACGTACCTAAAGTGTTAAGTATTGAAGCGAGGTAATTTGCACAAATGAAACATCACTGTTGATCCTGATACCTTAAGGCGGATGAACACAGATTCGTTTGCCCCACGAACGTTTTTGTTTTATTTGTATGAATCCGCACGGTGCCCCTGCACGAGTGGGAGATACACTTTACAAACATTATGTAGGCAAATGCTCCTAACCCGCCACTCACGTAGCAGTAGGCTTAGTAAGACAAGTTAAACTAGGTATTTGCGCTCCAAATCAAGGAATCAATTATATTTACTCATTTGACTTTATTAAATTTCAAGCCTACATGGTGAAATGAATATCTCAGTATGTACTTATGCAAGACCACCACAATCAGAAGGAATTATAAGAAATATAATAAAATAGTACTGACGGAAAGCGAGTCCCGCGAACTCATCCGTGGTTTGGCTGACGATCAGCGGCACCGTGTGTATCAGTCCCTTGGTGATCGCCTCTGTTGGTTCTATCGTCAGGTACCGCTCTTGGCCGAAGTCTAGCTCAACCACGGGCTTCCATAGTCCGACAGGATCGAACGCGTATTGCTGCAAACGTAATACTGATCAATTCTTGTTTATTTTCATTAGTTTTTAACTTACTTATATATTTTATTACTTTAATTTATATATTTTTTCAGACTGATTTTAATTATAATGGCTCCCATTTGACACACGGTATACTTATCGGCTCCCATTTCTCGAACTGTGGGGTAATAACTTAGAGGATGGAAAAAAATAAAAGAAGGTAATAAGAGCAAATGACATGTTTCAGTTTTTTTTCTTTTTAACCAATTATTATATTTTAGTTTCATATTTTTTCTGTGATTGTCTAGTACCCATGTATGTGAAGCATACGTTCATAACTAATAAAAAATTAAATTGCATAAATTATGACTTTTATTATCAGTTTTCCTTAGTAGGCTCCTATCCCCCATCGATTCCCCATCGCATACCTAAGCATCTAGGTGTTTTTCAAATGAATATTGTGTAAAAGCGCACGGCCGCGGAGAAGCGTGCGTCCAATATTAGCATACGTATAGATAGTATGTAACGTACGTAAGACTAACTGCTTTTAGGTAATTGCTTCATACATAATTAATATGACTAAATAAATTTGAACAATTTCGGAGAATGACTTACAAAGAACTTTGGATAAGAGTCTCCCAGTTCCTTCCAAGGTTTCTCGACGAGGCAATCGACGATGGCCTGGGAACTGTTCGTGGGGCAGCTGAGGATATGCGCCTGTTTGATGGCCAAGTCGAGCTGATGGTGCGGCATGGGCTCCTTGCCGATAGGCGACGCGCTGATCGCGATGCCGCGGTGGAACAGGCCTCACAAAAATAAAGATATTGCATTTCATTGTACTGCTGATCTAATTGCGCGCTGCGACTATTAATACGGAGATAGTAATCTACAAGTAGCATCTGGGAAAATCCAAACTTTTAATCCACTACGGCGCAGGTAATTCCTTGTTACTCACTAGGTACCTATAAGTAAAATTACTACCTGTACCTGTACCCTGCAACCAAGATATATATACATAATAAGTATAAAGTGATTAGGTAATACCACTCTAAGAGTTCGGGATGCAGTTTTAAGTTATAACTGCTTTCGCAAACATCTACAGCCGTACAAGTGACTGAAAGTGGCTGTTATGAACCCAAATAACAATGAAATAATCTTTATTTCATATTTTGGTGTCACATAACTTTGAACACACAGTTAGTGTAAGTGAAAGGCGGGAAAGGGAACTTCGTGACGTTAGGTACCTTTAGTCATTGGAGAGATCATGTGCAACATAACGCTTATGGAACCGGCGCTGACGCCGGCGATGGTGACGCGGTCGGGATCTCCTCCGAAAGCCGCTATGTTGCGCTGCACCCATCTCAACGCCATCACCTGGTCCTTCATGCCGTTGTTGCCCGGCGCGAGCTCGTCGCCTGTGCTCAGGAAACCTGACGACAGATGGTATATTTAATAGTACCTAGACGGTGGCGTAAGTCCTGTCTGACTTTAACTAATCATTGTAACAAGTTCTTAGGTCTTCGCGATTGTTACAACGTAGAAAATGAGACTACTTTCTTGGATCTAATCAAACACACCAACGATTTGGGCAGTTTACAGTTCCTATGGTCAGTCAAATAAACGCGATTTGGATCCAAAAAAATAATTTCATTTCCTAATTATGGTAAAGCTATAATAATCAATGTGTTGAATGTTACTTCAAACATAATTACGATTCAGTGGGCTTGGATGAAAAGTTTTTGCTTAGTGTCTACCAAGAAACGCATCTGAGTAAGTACATAAGTAGTTACCTATTTTCTATTACCATAGAACTCAATGATTAGGTATCGTGTTTAAAAAATGTTTTTTATACTTTTTTATTTGATGATTTAGACACGGAATTTCCAGGAAATGAAAACTTCTTACTTGAAATCTCCGTTAATAATTATTGTAACCAGCTACGTATAAGTATATTTAAGCTCTACAATAAATCATTACTTAGGTGCCTGTAAGTTTCGATACGTAATCATCATAATATAAAGGCATAATAATAAAGGCTCAGGAAGTGATAGGATTCCAGCTGTTTTCATTGTCAACTGTGCTGAGACTATTGCTTTGCCATTGCAAATAATTTACAACCGTTCCATTCGAGAGGGAATATTTCCCAGTGTATGGAAGGAGGCGCATATAGTTCCCATACATAAAAAGGGGTCAAAATCGCGTATACAGAATTACAGACCCATATCGATTTTGAACATTTTTGCTAAGCTTTTCCAGAAACTAGTCTTCGATATTATGTATCCTACGATTGCACCAAACGTCAGTGAACAACAACACGGTTTTCTAAAACACCGTTCTGTCAATTCTAACTTGGGAGAGTTCATAAATTATGTCCTCAGAAATATGGACAAGCGCTCGCAGGTTGACGTGATCTATACAGATTTCGAAAAAGCCTTCGACCGTGTGGATCACGTCATACTGTTAAGAAAATTGCATACATTAGGCATACATGGAGACCTTTTGCGCTGGGTAAAATCGTGCGTAACTAAGAGACGACAAGCTGTAGTTGTTGGGGGCTTTAAATCTAACTATGTAATTGTTCCATCGGGGGTGCCGCAAGGATCTCATTTGGGGCCACTACTGTACAACGCGTATCTCTACGACATACATATTTGTTTCGCGAGCTCGAGATTCCTTCTGTACGCAGACGATAAAAAAGTTTTCTTGAAGGTGAACTCAATTACCGATTGCCATGATATACAGGCTGATTTGAATAGACTTTCGGAATATTATGTGCGAAACCGTATCAACGTAAACACAGATAAATGTGTACAAATCACGTTTACCCGCAAAACTAAACCAATTTCGTTTTGCTACTCGATTTGCGGTAGACAGGTGCAGAGGGTAGACCAGGTCCGTGATTTATTTTATTTTATTTTATTTATTAGGTTCACCAACGTTGTGTACAATATTACTTATATTCGATATACATATATTATTTTATAATCTAATTGCCACAAACACTTAAAGGTAAACACAACATGCACTGACTAAAAGCTAACAATGTCTAATAAAAACTAAAAACTAACAGTGTCTAAATAAAGTAAACAATAAAGATCACAATATGGAGCACAATATACTGAAGGTCACTTATTTGGTACAGTCGAGTAAGTGAGAAATTTTCTTCCGAATCTTGAAAGGTGAATCGTGGTGAATGTCAATGCTATCACTGAAACCATTCACCGTTCTACTCAACCTTGCGACGGGTGAGTTTGAGCCAAATACAGTTTTACGAGGTGGGACACTTAATGGACTAATTTTGTTACGCGGATATCTAAAGGGAACACGCAATTTGAATTTTTGAAGCAAATGAGAGCAATCCACTTCATGACGAAATATTTTTGACACAAATGACATATCCAAAAGAGTTCTACGTTTCTCCAAAGACATCACATTGAAATGTGATAAACGACGCTGGTACGAGGAGAGTTTTTTCTTGGAGATTCCACATGAGTACATTAAGTGCCAAACAAATCTTTTTTGAATGCGTTCTAAACGTAAGGAGTGTGTTGCGTAGTGTGGTCTCCAAACAACACTGCAGTACTCCAAGATACTGCGTACTAAGCTATTATATAACATAATTTTGGGTTTACAGCTTCGAAAACTTTTAATGTTTCGCAGTACGAATCCCAACATACGCGAGGCCCTACTTACAACATTATCAATATGCGGAATAAAAGTTAATTTGTTGTCAAATATAACACCTAAATCTCGAATTTCATCCAATACCTGTATCAAAATGTCGTTTATGTGATATTTGTAAAGAACCATGTTATGCATTCTACCAAACCTTACTACAAAGCATTTACTAGCGTTTAAGGTCATACCATTCTCACTACACCAAGCAACCACTTCATCCAACTCACTCTGAAGCAAAACTGAATCCTCAACGGTATCAATCACTCTGCAAAACTTTAGATCATCTGCATATAAATACGGTTTTGAGTATCTAAATCTGTGAGGAATGTCATTTACGAAAATATTGAATAATACCGGGCCTAAATGAGAGCCCTGCGGTACACCTGATGTGACATTGATCGATTGTGAATTGAAACCATTAAGGACAATGTGAAAACTGCGATTATCCAGGTAAGATTTCACCCATCTTAACATAGAGTCGCTGAAGCCATACACCGATAACTTTTGCAGCAAAAAATGGTGGGGAACACGATCAAACGCCTTACTAAAGTCCGTGTATATAACGTCCACCTGTTTATTAGCGTCTAAAGATTCAAATAGACCTTCTGAAAAATCTACCAAATTGGTAGCTGTAGACCTGTGTTGAACAAAACCATGTTGAAAGTGGCTCAAAAATAGCTTAGTGTGACGCATTATACACGGACAAACCAATGATTCAAATAACTTGGCAAAGATGATTTAGGTGTAACACTTGATAGTAAACTGTTATTTGATAAACACATAGACTTTATTATTGATAAGGCGTACCGGAGCCTGGGTTTCGTTATGAGAGTGTGCAAACCTTTCGATAATATATGCTGCATTAAAATGGTGTATAATGCATACGTTCGTAGCGTACTTGAATTTGGCAGTGTTATATGTACTCCTAAATATAGTACTTACATAAATAGTATTGAACGCATTCAGAAGGTATTTATTAGACATATAAACTATAGAACTAAAAAACAGTTTTTATCGTACGTAGAAGCATGTAAATATCATCGCATGAATACTCTTGAGGATCGTAGAATATTGCTGGACATGACTTTCCTTAGTGATGTGGTTGATCAACATGAATCAACATGAATCAACAGTCGCCTCGACAGTTGCCTCCTAACATCATCAGTAGGATTAGAAGTACCCCGACGAATCCCTCGTTTCCCCATTGAAAGGGTTTTTTGTGTTCCTGTGAGTCGCACAAATTATGGCCAGAACGAACTAATTTCGCGCATCACTAGTCTTTATAATACCACCTACAGTGACATTGATATTTTTGCGAACTCAAAAACAGCTTTTAAAAATAAAATTCGTAAGAAATTAAATATTTAAAATTTAAGTTAAGTTACTTATTAATAATTATTAATTTACTTTTTCATATACACACACACACGCATGCGCGCACGCACGCACTCGCGCACGCACGCACGCACGCACTCGCGCACGCACGCACGCACGCACGCACGCACGCACGCACGCACGCACGCTCTCACATAAACAACACCTGTTCATCATCTACACAATAAAGAACAAGTCATACTACTACTAATGTATACATATTTCACAGTCATATATATTAGTATAATATATACTTTTTTACAAGTTTTAGAGTACATATAAACATGTCACAATTTATTATTAACGGAAGTTTGTAAGTTTGAAAAATGTTTGTGGTATCCTGTAATTGGCGTAGTTGTTTGGGATTGTTCATCTTTCAAATTGTTAATCTATTGTAAGCTGTTGGTACCCGAAATAAAATAAAATCATTACGATAGTCAATGTGTGCAAATTCAAATTCAAATTCAAAATAATCTTTATTTCATAGGTAAGCATTATTACACTTGAAATCGTCACAATATTAAACTCTACCGCTCATTCGTAAGGCAGATTCCCCTGAGAAGAATGAGCAAGAAACTCTAGGGGTTGCTCTTTGTAAATAACATTTAGAATATTTTTTTTTATTATTTGAAACATCAGAGATCGAGACTACCTCCATGAGCTAAACGGCTTACTACCACGGATTTTTGTCATCCAAGTACGCAGAAGTTGTATAATAACCTTTAGTATAAAGTTTTTGTTTCACTATAGTTTTAAACCTCGTGTAAGGCAAATTTTGTATATCAACCGGAATCTTGTTATAGAAGCGTATACCTACATTGCCCCTTAAATGATTTTTTGACTTTGTGAAGACGACTATCAAGAAAAGCTAGTTTATTTCTATTCCTCGTATTAATGTTATGTCTGTCACTATTTTTCATAAATAAATTACTATTCCTTTTAACATAAATTACATTCTCATAAATGTACTGTGAGGCTAGTGTAAGAATGTTAATTTCCTTAAACTTATCTCTCAAAGATACTTTGGGGCCCAGATTGTAAATTGCCCTAACTGTACGTTTCTGCATGACAAAGATTCTATTGATATCGGCGGCATTACCCCAAAGCAAAATGCCGTATATCATTAGACTGCTCGACTGTGAAAGTAGCTGAAGTAAACCAATCTAGCGGTTTCGACGTCTGAAATACTAATTAATTGCACACAGCCTTCGCTAAGACGAAATAAGCCACGCACTAGGGGAACCCTGTGTCGCGGGTGCCATGGACACACACACACCACAAATTACACCCAAACTCAAGAGATAAATAAATGTAGGCCATACAAATATTTCTCCTGGCCCTAGAATCGAACCTGCGACCTCTGCATAGCAGTCCGGCATGGTGACCGTTCGGCCACGGAGGCAGTTATTTAATTGTTCTCACCAAGAGCAGCGAGGCGGTAGTTGATAGAGACGAAGATGAGGTTTTTGTCCAGCAGGTAGTGTGGGCCGGCGAGGTCACTGCGCCCCGTCATCGAGTAGAACCCGCCCGGGTGGATGAAAAACACCACCGGCAGACGAGCCGACCTGGACACCAAAACACTCTTCGTCATCGGTAGTTCCTTTGAATACCAATGAATAAAATCCATTATCCATAAAGTGGTGGCCCCACAAATGTAGAATATAATATTTAAGTAGGTATATTGAAAAAATGACGTCTTTCAAATTTGAGTACAAGCCAACCATATTAATATCTTAAGTGTGTGCGTTATTATTATTATTATAAGTATCTTATCTTGTCAGCGGCAGCGCTCATAGTTCGAAGAGAAACAATTGTATGTCACACTCTCAGGATCAGCAAAATTTTCAGATCAGAAAATCTTTGCCTGAGTAGGCCTCACTACATTTCAGAAAAGAAAAAAAAGAGATGAGAGGCCTACACGGCCTTGTATGAGTTGTCGTTTGGCACCTGTTAGTAGTAGGCGTGTATACATTGATGGTGAGGCAGTCTTCGTCGACGTAGTAGGAGGCCGGGGCGACGAGAGGACACGCCGGGCCCTCTTTACTCGCGTCCACCTCTTCCTTGTACTGCACGATGGGGACGGGCGGCTGCGGATATGCATTTATTTATTTAGGGTATAGCTACAGAATACAAACTGTGAGGTTGCAGTTAACATACATTACGAAATAGGAGTCAATTTTCATTCCAATGACAACGCACGACATTTGCGAAATAAAAGTATGTACTTCCAAATTAAAAAAGACTATTGAATAAAAAAAATTAATTGCACTTAAAAACAATAGGAAAAAAAATCATGTTACCATTGACTTACAAATGCATGTTACACATAGGTAGATTACAAACAATAAGGTTTTTAAATATCCAACATATTCACCTTGTCCTTACAAATATTTATAGAAGTATATCGACTACAGGAGAACATATCAAAATCCTTTTACCAGTCATTGTGAGTTCTAAACAGTTATGCGCTAAACTTTAATTAATTAAGAACATCTAATAATTGTCTGTTGCTTATAAAACTGTATGTAGCCTTTAGTAGGCTTTTGATAATAATTTATGATGATGTGCATACCTTGAATCTGAGTTTCCCGATCGGCGGCTTGGCGTATCTGATGCCGCGGTACGCCTGGAACCGTCTTCCGCGGCGCGTCTCCATCCATGACCCTCGGATGGAGCCGGCTGGAGTGTTCACCACGGGATTCTCAGGAGTAGTAGTTTGATTAGAAGAACTTGGTGTTGGGGTTGTGTTGATGACAGCTGGTCTAGACCCAGGTGTACCTATGAAGAAATATAATTTTATTTGTTTTGTTTCGTACATACCTAAGCAAAATAGTTGTATGTTCTATTCATAGCATATCGTTTTTATTATTATTTTTACGACTAACCCATTGAATTAGGGTGTAAGTGTATCTACCAATCATGTCATCGTACATTAAAACAATAAACGCAAAGGTTGCTAATACTTTTTTTTCGCTATAGCTGTACGCAGGTTTCGTCCATGGTGGTTTTACATCCATTTTATTGTTTCGTGACTGCATACAATTTTTAATCTTTCGTGTAAATACAAATCACAGACCTTCCTCTTTCTTCGGAGGCTTTCTGCCGCATGCCACTGCCACTGCCGCCGGCGTCGCCGCCGCTGCCAAAAGGCAGACACACAAGGCCCGCCACCACATAGTTTAATGCTTCAAAGTGGCTCGTTTCTCGTATCTAGAGTCTAGGCTTTACTTGCCGCGTGTGTCCCGCACCCCACGACACCTGCTACTGAACTTTTAGAGGACATTTTCTTCGTTTTATATGTTTTTTATGGATTATATTCATATTGTGTGTGGATGTATTAGTGGTTTTTTGACTGAATGGGATTGTTGCTGCTAGTGGTGGAGTAATTTTACTTCATTAGATGTAAGTAGATAGGATTCTTAGTAATGTAGTGACAGCCTAGTTTCCCTTCTTCATGTTCTGGCCTTCCAAGCTGGAAGATTACGATTTCTTAAAAATTCTTCAAAGTCATAACGATGAGCACGGGGCGATCAAGATAGAATAATAGCCTTCCTTTATCAGGAGGCCCGTGCAAAGAAGGCGGTCGAAAACTAATTCGTTTGACTTTTCGTCTATATAAACCGCAAAGTGAGGTCGAGATACGCAATAATCGATTGACACCTTTTCCATGCAGAATCATAATTAAGGAAAACCGCGCGGACCGCGTAAGTAAAAACCAGAATGGCATAGGATACCACACAGGTTTTATACAGTACTTACCTATTACCCACACAGCGATGAGTTTTCCAAGAAATAATTGCTGTTGTTATGCTTTATTACGACAGTTTATTAATGCGCTTCTAATAAATAAATGTTTTTTTATTTGATTAACATTACAAGCAGACATACACGACGACCACTACCGATCGCATCACTCTAAAACCAGCCTAAGATTTTTTAGCAAATTTCCATTGTTGCAAGTAATTTAGTTTATCCCTATTTTCCTTAAAAGTTGTCAGTTTGTATTATTTTATTCATCTGTTTGTGTTTTCGTAATCAAATGTGTCTACAGTTTAAGCAACTTCCATGTACTGGATGAACACTTCTAATTGAGTCACTTAAAAATAAGGCATAGGTACTTGCACTTTCGTCCATTTAATAATAGGGGTTAAAGTATGAAATTGCCGATTTGTACTGAAAA